GGCCTCCAGCGCCTCGAAGCGCTTCTCCAGGGCCTGGAAGCGAGCCAGGAGCCGGTGCTCCCCCCGCAGCCCCTGCAGCAGCAAAGGCAGGGCATGATGCAGCCCCCCCCAGGGAGATGCAGACCCCTGGGGGGCTGCTTGCTCCACAGGAACCCCTGTGAAAGGGGACCCAGGCCACCCAGTCCCCAGAGTCAGTGGCATCTTATTCATCTGCTGCTTCCCAGGAGAGGGCAGATGTTCCCCCTGCTCCATTCCTGGGACACCCTGAGAGTGAGATGGCCACAAGCTGGGAGAGCCATCTCCACCAGCATGGAGCCACCATCTGCTCCATCCTCCACCACTTCCCCATCCCCTGGAAGGGCTCCTTCAGCCGTGGACCACACTGTCCTGGCTCTCCCTGCAAGGCACCCACCCCACCCGGGCCACCGCCGCACCTTTGCCAAGGCTTACCTGGTCCAGCGTGGTCAGGTCCCCTGCCCCAGGTACTTCGGAGGAGGAAAGCTTTCCAGCTCCCCACCACGGGAAGGCGGGGAGGCTGCGTGTCGACAGCCCATACGGGTAGAAGTACCAAGCTCCTGGACATGCAGGGGGATGAGATGGTTAAAACACCAGGCCAGTAACGTGCCACAGCGGGGGACAGGGTGGACGTGCTCAGCCATGAGCATCGCCTGGGGTTACCAGGAGGTCCCAGCACAGGGGTGCAGATGCACCAGGGTACCAACAGCCACGAGCACTGAGCTTGGTGCCATCCCATCCCCCGGGTATGGCAGTGGGATGCTCTGCATTGCCCCAGATCTCAGGGCAACAGATCAAGCCAGGCCGACTCACCATAGGCGGCAGCAGCGAGGAGCAGGAGGAGCAGCAGCAGAAGCAGGGACCTCTTCAGCCGTGGGTAACGCCTGGAGCACGGAGAAGAAAGAGGCACCTGCAGGCTGCAGCCACCTTCCCCCACCGCAGCGCTCCTCTGGATGGGGGCCAGAGGGAAAGCAAAGCCCAGCCGGGCTTTGGCACAAGACACCCACCCCACGTGTGCTGGGCTCTGCGGGGCACCCCCTCTCCAGGGTCCTGCGGATTTTCCCCATGCCTCCCACATCCCGGTGTTCTGCCACCACGCTCACCTGGAAAAGGGGACGCCGCCCAGGTGGGGAGCCATGCCGGTGAGGCGGTGCCAGGCAGCTGCCAGCCCAGAGAACAGCCAGCCCACGAACCGAACTACCAGGAGAGAAACCAAGCCTCAGGCCGGGTCCCAGCAGAGATGTCCCTTCCGTCCCCGAGGATGCTCCCACAGAGAGCTAAAAACCCCCCACCCGATCAGGGAACAGCACACACAGCACGTGGGGAGAGGAGATGCTGGCAGGGAAGAAAGGTGCTGCCAGCAACCCCCCCACCGGCCCTCCACTCACCCGGGGAGGTGAGCACCTGCCAGAGGAAGGAGCCCACCCGGGAGGCTGCAGTCCTCAGCCCTGACCCAGAGCTACTCTGGCCTGAGTAAAAGTGACCTGGAAAGGAAGAAGCGAGGCAGTAAGTCACCAAACAGAGACTGCATCTCTGTGCGTCGCCCAGGGCAAAGGCTTTGCACAGGGGGTGGCACACAGGGGGGGCTGGCAGCACCCTGGGCACAGCCAGGCCCTGGACTGGTCCCCTTGTGGACGTCTCCCCAGCATCCCTACCGGCGTAGTCATCTTCTGAGGAGTACCCAGATGAAGAGGCATAGGTGTCGTACGTCTTGCTCTCCAGCAGCCCGTTGATCTTACTGGACTCTGTGTCCCCTGTGCCTCTTCTCCTCCTGGTGGAGAGCTCCCCACCTGCCCCCAAAACACAGTCCCCCTGAGAAACCAGCCACCACCATCCCCAAAGGGGGCAACCCGGTCAGCCAGCCTGGGGGGGCTGCCCCAACACCCCCCTGGTGCCCAGGGAGGTCCCCAGCTGCCA